AGAAGGCAGAGCGACCATGGAGGCAGAGGTCGGAGAGATGCAGCCACAAGTCAAAGAATGCTGGCAGCCGCCAGAAGCTAGGCGAGGCAGAGAAGAGACTGTCTCTTAGAGACCCCCCCTGGGCCTGATGACACTTTCATCTTGTTTCAGTGGTACTGATTTTAGACTCCTGGCCTCCAGAACAAGGACAGAATAAATTTCTATTGCTTTAAGTCACTAAGTCTGTGGTACTTTTTTTACAGCAGCCCCAAGAAACTAATACAAAGAGGTAAGAAAGACATTTTCAAATCTTCATACGTACATTTACAAATGTCACCTATGAAAAACGCTCCAATCTGTATTTGTATTCTTGAAGGATGTGGAAAAGTACGCTTGATTTATGTCAACATCTCATTTGGAATGATCTGCAATCTTACTGCTTTTTTGTGAGTTCCTTCAAGATTTAAAAAGACATAACCACTGGAAAACATACAGTGTAAAATCCCCACCACTTTCGTGCTCAGTGAAACCCAATACTGAGCTATCCAATCTGTAACAGTTCAAGAAAGCTTTCACATGTTCTATCACAAACAGCAAATGTTAAAATGTCAAACCTAGGCTGTCAATGACATGAGGGCACAAACTGTATTTGTGTTTTTCACTACTTTATCCCCAACTTTTGGTACATTATCAAATAAATCAGCCTTTGTATTTCCTGTCAAGATTCCCTACTACCATACACTGCATGTTTGCTATACCACACTTCCCCTTCCTTTACTCTGCAGCTTAATAATGAACCCCCAGACCTCCATCCGTAATATCTCAATGGGTTAAGCAGCAGCCATGCCCTCGTCAAAGCCAAGGCAAACCTAACATGCTGAAAGGAAGGAACAGTCTGACATGTCCTGTCAAGATGCTTCACCAGGAAGAAGCCACTTACTTGAACATGGATGCATAAGCCAGATTTGGCTCCAACATTACCAACTGCTTCTAGGCTTTAAAATCCCAGGCTCCTTCCACTAACGGACACGGCCTCTCTCAACTCACAGAACTGTTGGAACTGATTAAGGTGATATACATTAGTGCCTAGCACATGGTTTGCATTATCACATTTAGTTCCACTTCCCTTTACTTCAGAGAAGGAAACGTATCCTTAACCTTCACAAGCTTCTCTATCATGTTACTTGCCTTACAAGGTCCAGGCAACTGCAAATGGGGACAGAAAAGAGTCCTCCTAGTACCTGACAGAGGCTGGTCCCTCTGGGGTAGAAAGAAAAAGGGAAGTCACTCCTCCTGTCTCAAGCTGTGCTCTTCACCTTACGTGACCTCTCCCATCTGAACCTGAATATCATATTCAGAACCTGCCTTGTAACAGTTGTAGAATTCATCCCTTGAGAAGAAAATGTTCTTAATAATGGTACTGTGATCTGTTTATAAGTCTTGTCTTCTCTACCAGGTTGTAACTTCCTTATGGGCAGAGACTATATCATATTCAAGGCCAAAGTACAGAGCACAGTTTCCCACACAGATGACAATGAAAATGTATTTAACGGAAGTCATCAAGTCGATATACAGTATCTTATCACTATGTTAAAACAAAAGTATGTAAATTATCTGGCTTGTTCTGCTATTGGTAGTTATGCTGAGCAGATAACTTTTCCAGAATCCCTGTTCAATTAGGCAAGGATCAAGAAGTCTAGATTTCTATCTCACAGTAATTTCCCAGCTTACTTCTAAAGGGAGATATGAGCACTTAACTTTATTTACCAAATAAATTAGCACAATACCTGGCACGGACTTAACTTATAATGCCACCTAACATTTTTTATGATACTTTTTAATTTATGAAACAATTTCAAGTACAACTCATGTCATGCTCCCTGAACCCTGTGAAACCAGGTAGGTATAATTTTGCACTTTTACATGTGAGGCAACTGAGGTGCAGACTATCCAAAGCAGTGGACATCCCATACCACTGACGGCTGCATCAGAGTCACCCTGAGGGGCTTGTTAAAAATTCAGATTCAGAGACATAACCATCAGAACCTCCAGAGGATAGGGCCTGAACCTGTATTTTGAACAAGGGCCCCAGGCGATTATGACACATGGCCAAATTTACAAATTAACAAGAATTCAGAGCCCAAGAGGCCTGATGGTATTTAAGAAGGAGCTTCCTTCTGTTGGGCTAGTTTACCGAAGTGAACCATGGGCTACTCCTCTGGAAAACTGAGATGTCACTTGTGACTGAATGTGCACCTAGGTGTTTCTAGGAACACAGAATACAGCAAAGATTAAACGACTCTTTACCTGGCTTGTACTCTGAGGACACAAAGGTATAATCCGTTAGAGCTGGTTAGTTTTATGTTCCTAATTAATTTCAAAACTTGCCTTTTGATATACTCTACTTAGCATTTTAATCCAAGTGCCAAAATAATTTACTTCCTCTTTGTGTTAATTGTAAGATTTTTGCTAAACAAAAACATTAAGTAAAAAGCTTCCCCCAAAAGGGTGCTACTAAGAAGGCTGAATGGTTTCATCCACACTATCTGTGGCAGAGACAGTCATCTCTTTCCTCCATAAATATAGTCAAGCACACAACTTCCCTGCTAGGTTACACTTCCCAGCTTCCCTTGCAGCTAGGTATGGCCATGCAACTAAGTTTTCATGGACAGAATGTGAAAAAAACAGCGTGGGGTGACACTTACGGTCTTTTAAGACAAGGAGTGAACACTTTTCAGTCCTTCACCTGCCTGTGAGTTAGGGCAAGGACAACACAGATGAGGGCCATCCGCTAGGGTACTGTGAATGATCAAGGTGGAAGAAACGTGTCTCTGGATGACCCACTGAGGCAGCACCCCCAGCAACCTGGCCATTCACCTCCTCGAGATGATTTGTGTTCTCAGAGTCATCAAAGTGCTGGCTCCCACTTACAGCAGCTTAACCGTGGACCCTAATACACTACTGTGTACGTGACAACTAGAACTAATCCCCTCTAACAACTATTTAATACATCAGCTGAGGACGTTTCTAAGGTGTCTGATAATAAAATGTTGGATGCCGAAAGGCTCTTAAAAGATCATCTATGAAAGTCTAGAGATTAAAAGACATGGCAGGAAGAACACTGGACCCTGGGACTCCTAACTTCCCAGGTCACTCTCCCTTTAACATTATGTTAAGCCTGGATTCTAAAATCATAGAAAAAAGAACCGCATTTTTTAAAATAACCTTTGGATTAATTTTATTCATTGATTCAACAAATAATCTACCCCAGCATCTGCCAGTTGCCAAGCAATGTGTTTTCAGGTGAATGCAGATTTACAGAGGCCTTTCGTTTCCTGGCTGTACTATGCCTTTAACCCTCCTGAGCCTGGATAAATTACACAGAAAACAAGTACAAAGACGTTAACACTACCCTGAAGGACCCAGAAATACTCAAATCAAAATCTGAAGTTTTTCCTTATAGAAAGTAATATATTAGAAACATCTCTTCTACTTCTGCTACTGCCCTGTAATAGCCCCCATCCCAAAAAAGTATTTTCATTTGTACCCAGTCCAAAGCAAAGAAAGAAGTCAGTAAACCCAAGTAACAGTATTCGGCCTACACTCCTTCCCAGAGAACAGGGGCACTGGGGTCCTGCCTTCTCACCCACCCTGACCCCCCCAGGGCCTGCACCATACAGGAGACAGAGGCGTGGGAACAGGCCTCACTCCCAGGAGAGACAGGAACGCCTCCTTTCCTCTGGCATACAAGAGATCCTGGTGAGCTATGTGATAATAAGCTAAAGAACAGGAAGAGCTTTTTCTAGAAAGCTAAAAGGTTTCCAAATCCCAGAACAGAGTCCATTCTAACAGTGCTTTGTCCATAAGGATAAGATCGATCTGCCTGGATGCAAAACTCCATAGAGTAAAATGCTTTCCCCCTCTGGATTTTTAGAAGAAAATCTATTAGTGCAGGTTAAAACCTCAGTATTAAAAAAATTACCCAGATCACATACCAAGGTTTTCCAGGATGGGGGAGGTGGCTCAAGTCCTGTGGGGCAGGCACTGTGCAGGAGTAATCCTTACAGAACAATGTTTCTCAACCTTTTCTCCTTCGTTCCCATCACCAGGAAGAAAACTTTAAATTAAATTTCTCCTTAATGAGTGAAATTAAATATTATGGAATAAGATTCTGTCAGGTAAGGCTGACTTACTGTAATATCTAAGATTTTTTTCACTCCTCCACGCCCAAGAACAAGTTCTCCCCCTTGGGGAGTGATATCACCTCCCCCATGGAGAATGCGTGTCACAGGACCTAAAAATGTGATCCTCAAACTTTACACATCACCCAGACCCCTTCTCAGACATTTGGATATGCTAAGTCTGGGGGTAGACCCAAAAATCTGCATTTCTTTTAAGCTTTCCAGAGGACTCCAATGTATATGGTCAATGAGCCACAATGTTTCTGACAAATTTCCATTGTTACACCCAAGCCCAGTAACAGGATGACCTCAATATGAGAACTATTTAAATGAAATGAAACACTGAACACTGTCACATTCCCAGCATTAAGGAGATCTGTTCAGGGGCAAAAAAGAAAAGTCTTGAGCTACAATTACAGGAGATATGATTATCTATTTCTTCTTTCTCCTGTACAAAGGACAATCACAGGATTACTGGAGAAATACTTGAGATATTTTATGGACTGTAACATGTGACCCAAAAGGAGGTTTACATCACTTATTTCACAAAGTACATATTCAGGGTTTTTATCTAGTACTTTGGTACTTTAACTTAGGTGTAATTTGGAGCTGAGAAGGCCATAAAGTACTCATTATCTCTTCTACCCAATCTCCAAATCTATATTTATAAACCCTACCAAAATTATCAAACCACAGTTTAACTGAATAAGACAAATTATGTTAATATTATACAGCTATCTGAATGTAGTTACAGCAAAAAGGAATACAATCACATCAGTGCATTATAAAATGCATAAACTGGTCAGATTAGATAATAAAAAAACAAAACAGAAAAGTCACCTTTTTCCCCTTCAGAAAAATACTTCGTTCATGTAGTGGGATGTTCCTTGGTGGTCCCAATAAACCACTCTTGCCAGTGTCCACACCTTGTACAGTCTCCTCTGCTTGAATCTGGACAGGCCTGTGACTTGCTTTTGGCCTAAAGAATCTGGTGAAGATGACATTATGCCAGTTCCAGGCATAAGTCTTAAGATGGCCCAGTGGCTTCCGCTGTTGGCACCTCCAGAATCCAGTCACCACCTCTGGAATCTACCACCACGTACGAAGTTCAACTACCCCAAGACGATGCTGTGAGAAAGCCCACAGTAACCAGATGAAAAAGTCACAAGGAAGAAGATGTCTCAGAGACCACACATGTGCTGGAATCCAACATCTCAGACTTTCCAGTCCCAGGAGACACCATGTGCAATGGAGGCAAGGCCTGCCCAAATTGGAGAATTGTGAGCGAAGAAAAGAGTATTGGTTGTTTTAAGCCACTGAGATTTGACATGGTTCATTAAATAAATATAGATAACCTCAACATTTTGTATGTAAGCAAACATGGAAGAAAAGTTACAATGTATGTGTTTGGAAAATGAAAGTAAACACTCTACATCTGAAATCATTTATCTTCTTGAACTGGAAAAAGGCTGGTAAATTCTGACACCTTATATTGTATCAGCACACTTCTTTAACAAACAACTCAGGACTCCTATGAGATGCTCAAAACTGAGGAGAAAAGGGGGTCAAGACTCCATCTCCAGACTAGAGACGTATACATACCCACCACAAACAAAATAGTTTATTAAACTTCAGTAAAAAACTTGCCTATAGATAATCTCTTTGAGAATATGTCCTACTGGCTAAGATACAGAGTGGAGTTTTTTAAACTGGTTTGTATCCTTACACAGAGGCATCAATGAGTACTGAAGAGTATTGTTACCTGCTATCAGTAAATGACAACCATTGGTAAGTCTTTATATTAATGGGTTCAAACACTTATTGAGAATATTAGATATACTATGGGCCAGGCATCCCGGATACCAGAAAAAAAACAATCCCTGCCCATAGCTGCTCAATCTAGCAAAGGCCCCAAATACAAATAATGATTTTATAAATGCTACTTAGAATAAAACTGTGCACAAAAAGGAACTAACAAGAACACAGAAGACACAGCTATTCTTTCTACCCAATTCCTGCCTCCTTCCAGAAGAGCTAGGAGAAACTAAAAGAGATGACATCTGAGATGAGTAACTAAGGTTATGGAAGACTTTACCCAAAACCCACCCCACAAGGAAAACATTCTAATATTGGTTCTATTAAGGGCACATTTGTCTGCTTTGTTCCCCAAGTGTCTCGAGCATCTAAATCAGGGCCTGCCACAAAATACGTACACAAACATTTGTTAAATGCAATTTAACTCCTACAGTTATGACCTTGGACATTTCACTCAGCATAATTTATAAAAGATGAATAATGGCTTACAGAGTTGCTTTGAGAATTAAATGAGATACTGTATGGTAGTATTTGGAAAATGATAATAGGTCAATAAAATGTTTGGGTGGTATTATTAGTTTAGAGGAAGCAGCATTTGTTTATGTATTTAATGCATCAAGTGCCCACTATATGCCAAGCTCTGTGCTCTATAGAAAATGTTATAAAACTAGCACAGACAATGTGCCTCAAAGGAAAACTGAGAGGAAAGGAGCAGAAAGCATAACACATGTGGGGAAATGAAAGCTACTTAGAATAGCTCTGGAGTGGAGCAAATACGGTAGGGTTGCAGATAAAAAGACTGGAAAAGTAAGCTGAGGTCCAACTATAAAGAGAACCTGAATATTTTAATAAACTTGGTCTTCATTACATGGAAACGAGAATCACGGATGATTACAGGCTGTGGCAAAACAGCACAATCAGGGTGAAAGCAGCTATAGTAGGAGGGAGGTAAGGCTGACAAGTGTAAAAGAAAAATAATGACAACAAAAAAGATCTGAAAAGGGAACACTACAGCTTCACCAAGTACACATTCAACACAGTGGATAGTCCATGCATTTACAATTATTCTCTCACAAAGCTCCACTGAAAATAAAATCAGTATAGAAGTCAAAAAATAATAATAATAAAATAAAGAATGGACCAATGTTTAGATAATGAAATAAAACACAGACAGTGGTAGTAGACTTAGAAGAATGAAGGAAGGCACAGAATAAGTGTCTACACTTGGAGATACCAAAGAAAATAGTTAATGTACCCCGAAATCTGGAAAGGCCTAGGACACACACATATTCTCTATGTCCACTGAGACCGGGAGAAGATCCACACCCTAAGAGCAACAAGCACACCTAATGCTCAGGCTTTGGTTTCTAATACCATTCTCCATGAAAAAGAACCAGAGCTCTAGGCAAAGAGTTCTCACACTTGACACCATATGCATGATCCATAAAGGAAAGATTTAATAAACTGGACTTCATCAAAATTCAAACCTTTTGCTCTGAAAGACTCTTTTAAGAGGATGAAAAAACAAGCTATGTATGGACAGGGAGAAAGTATTTTCGAACCATATCCAACAAAGACCTTGTATCTAGAATACATAAAGAACTCTCAAAACTCAGCAGTTAAACTTTTCTTTAAAAATCCAATCAGAAAATGGGCAAGACATGAACAGATATATCACCAAAGAGGAGATACAGATGGCAAACAAGCAAATGAAAAAATGTTCAACATCATTAGTCATTAAAGAAATGCAAATTAAAACCATAACAGGGTATCACCACACCTATTAGAACAGCTATAAATAAAAAACAGTGATAGCACTAAATGGTGGGGAGGATGCTGAGAAAGTGGATCCCTCACATAGTGCTGGTGAGAACAATAAAGTGGTACAGACACTATGGAAAATAGTCCGGTGATTGCTTACAAAACTAAAGACGTGTTCACCACATGACCCAGCAATCACACTCTTAAACTTCTACCCCAAAAAAACAGAAAACAATGTTTACATGAAAATCTGTTCTCAAACATTCAAAGCAGTTTTATTCATAATATTATACAAAATATTGGAAACAATCCCAATGTCCTTCAGTAGGTGAATGGTTGAACAAACTTGGTACATCCATACAATAGAACACTACCCAGCAATAAGAAGGAATTAACTATTGATATACACAACACCAAATGGACCTCAAGGCATTATGCTTTGTGAAAAAGATTGATCTCAAAAGGTTAATACTGTGTAATTCCATTCATATTGAAGTGACAAAACTACAGACATGGAGAATAAACAGAATGGTGGAGGGGGGTGTTGGGAATACAAAGAGGTAGCAAAAGAGTTCTTCTAAAGTGATGGAACAGCTCTGTTATCTTGATTGTGGGGCTAGCTACACAACTCTATACATGGAAAAGACTATACACACACGCAAATGCAAGCTTAAAAAATAATGAGAAGTGAGTAGTTCTGTAGTGCAGTTAACAGAAATGTACCAGATATATCAAATTTCCCGATTTTGATACTGTAGTAGGGCTACACAAAACTCCACTGAAGGAAGCTGGATGAAGGGCGTACATGGGACTTTATATTATTTTTGCAACTTCCTGTGAGTCTACAATTATTTCAAAATAAAGGATTTTTTAAGGGGGTGGGGGTCCTTGGAAAAATAGCCAATTCCAATTCCAAGACTGAGACAATAGTTCAAGATGAGCCTGGAAAGTGCTCCAAAAAATGATGGAGATATGCTAAAAGGACATAGAAGCAAACTTGAAGGGGCTTCTACTAGCAAAATCTGGGACAAGTGAGGCATCAAAATAAATAATGACAGTAATGGATTACAACCCACTGCATAAAACAGAAAATCAGGTACTCATAGTGATATAAAACAAGTGAATAAATTAGAAGCCTGATTACTGATGGAATATTTACACAGTCTCCAAGTATCTCTACACAAAATATTTATTACAAAGAGGGAGGAAAAGTAACTTTAAAATGGAGAAGCCTTAAGGCACCACCATAATCAAGTGATCAAAGTAAACGTCATCAATAAGGAACAAACTGAAATCATATGCCACCTGTAGTACAGGCACAACGACGCCCCTGCCCCAAGACTGGTCCACACCCTCATCCTCAGAACCTGTGAACGTGTTACTTTACACATGGCAAAGGAGAATTATGTTTGCAGAAGAAATTAAAGTTGCCAATCAGATGACTTTAAAATTGAGATTATCTTCAATTATCCCGGTGGGCCCGATGTAATCACAAAGGTCCTTAAGAGTGAAAGGGTGGGGGGGGAAGAAGAGAGAGAGAGAGATGGCAGCACGAGATGGACGAGGTCCAAACCTGCTGGCTTTGAAAAGAGAAGAAGGGGGCCATAAGCCAAGAAATGCAGGCAGCCTCCAGTAGCTGGAAAGGGCAAGGAAAAACATTATTTTGTAGAGTCTCCAAAAGGAATGCAGCCCTACTGACACCTTGATTTGAGCCCAGTTGAGATGCATTTTGGACTTCTGAACTCCAGAACTATAATATAATAAATGTATGTTTTTTAAACCACTAAATTTGTGGTAATTTTTTTACAGCACAAACAGAAAAACAATAATACACCATCTAACAAAATGCACTGAAATTAATATAGCATCACTTCTATGATACTCCTGGCAAAGATACTTAACCTACATCTAATACAAAGAAACATCAGACAAACTCACATTGAGAGTGATTCTATAAAATAACTGGCCTGTATTCTTCAAAAATATCAATATCAAAAAAGAAAAAAACAGTTGAGGGACTATTCTAGATCAAGAGTTGAAGAGACGTGACAACAAAATGTGTTAAGTGATCCTAGATTGACTGTATCCTTCTCCTATAAAGAGCACCACTGGGGCAACTGCTGTAACCTGAATGGAGGCTTAAGGATCAGACAGCTGTAATATATCAATGTTACATTCTTGCCTTTGATGGTTGTATTGTTGTCAGGCAAGAGAATGTCTCTTTGTAGGAAACATGCACTACAATATTCAACAAAGAGACATCATGTCAACAACTCTCTCTCAAAAGATTCAGGAAATAAAAGTTATCTGTATTTTACCAGCAACTTTCCTAAGTTCGTTTTAACAATTAAGTATATAAAGTAAATGTAGTAAAACCCCAAATTGCAGCCCAAACCCTATACAGGCTGGCAACTATCATGTCCCCAAATAGACCAGAGGCATGCACGCTCTCTGGGGAAATGCAAAGAGGCTCCACACGTTGAAAGATCAAGCACAACAGAGAACTGGTTTGAGGCAGAAGACGAAAAACAGAACTGGGTAAGAGTCTCTACACGGAACTGTGGACTCTAGTCCCCTTCTCCAGTTCTGCTTGCAGAACATCAGCAACAGGAATACACGTCCCCTCTCCCCCAGGCATGCGATTTACAGTTTCAATCAGGAGACACCAAGAGCCCTGGAG